TGACCCTGGACGAGTTCTGTGCCGCCTTTCACCTGGTGGTGGCCAGGAAGAATGGCTATGACCTCCCCGAGAAGCTGCCCGAGAGCCTGATGCCAAAGCTGATTGACCTGGATGACTCAGCAGGTAAACGGCCTCTCTCTCTTTCACTCTCTCTCTCTCTCTCTCTCTCTCGTTCTCTTTTTATTTCTATTTCTCTCTCTTTCTGTCTCTCGCCCGCTCTCTCTCGTTTCTCAACCTCTGGTCTTATAAAATCTGTCCGGTGACAGCGCTGCAGCGTTCAACACCTGCCCTCTTGTCGGTTGTAGGACGTTCATTCGACAGGGCTTTACTTTTTTCATTCCAAAGCTTTGTATCCTGCTGCCAGGCAACGTGACGTCCACTCATTAGCTGATTGTCATTATCAGCATGATGATAAAAGGAAGAAAGACTGCAGTGGAGCTCATTGTATTTTCAGAGTTGTATCCTCACATTATGCTAAAGAGAAATACACACAAACAAAACCTTCATCAAATATAATACATGCAGAGTGTGTATCACTGCAATTGCCAAAGCTGCTGTTCCTAAAACTGCTGCTGATAGTATTATATCATCTATTTGTATTCATCTCAGAGAAATTGCAGATACGGATGCTGATGAAACAAGATCAGCAGCTTCAGTAAATCATTCATTTCATATCTGTCGGCCACGACTGCCTCAGCCCGAACGACCATGCTAACCATGCAGATGTGTTTTCTGATTGTTGTTGCTTTTCTCTCCTACTTCAATTCATAATGTTCATGTAAATCAATTGAAGATAGTGTTTTTGTGCTGCCTCTTCTGATTCTGCACCAAATCTCCCTGTGGTATTTAGAGGAATAGTCTTTACAGCAGAGCACTGATACTTCTCTCATCTGTTTGATATGTATGAAAACACCACCAGTAGCCAGTAATCCTCCCTTGAAGCCACAGTGACCAGTAAAGAAATAGAAGGAATAGACTGAGCACAAGTTCGGATCAAACAAACAAGGTGTTTCCTGTTTATTACTGAGCTTCAGTGTTGGTCGCTGGAATTGTTTCCTTTGGATGAAGCTTGTTGAGCTGCTTTTTCCAGCTCTTAGATCTCAGTGAAGGTATAATTTTTTTACTTTGGTTGATGGCATCTTGTAGTCTCAGACTCCTACCCCTTCATTGGACGCTCGCTGTGTAAGAGTATAACCTGTCTGTACTTGTCTTACGCAGAGGTCCCAGAGACGGCTGCTGATGTGGGATACTCGGACTCTCCGGTGGAGGTCCCCCCCAACAAGTCTCCCTCCATGCCCTCACTCAACCAGGCCTGGCCAGAGATGAACCAGAGCAATGAGGTTCACACATCCACACGATTACTTGTATTTTCACACGTAGCGTAAACTCAGCGTCTGTTTGCTTTTGCTGTGTTTGATTCATCTGACGTAATTGCTGCGGGTTAAATGGGCTACGTGGCCTTTTCTTCATCCATTCATTCATCATGTATCGACTGCCACTTCATCCTCTTGACCATCAGACATAATTACTGATAACTCACCACCTCTTCTCTCGCTTCTTGGACTGTGGCGGTTCTGTGTGAAAGTCGGTGACGTCTGTCGTTTCCACGCTCGCGGACCAGGTCACATTTACGGATGACGGTGGTGGCGGCGGCGGCGGCGGCTCAGACTGATGATGTAAATGTGTGATGTCACTGCACTGGCCGACTGACATGTTTTTTTTCTCACTGTCTGTCTGTCTCCTGCAGCAGTGGGAGACGTTTAGCGAGCGCTCCTCCAGCTCACAAACTCTGACCCAATTTGACTCTAACATTGCACCAGCTGACCCTGTAAGTCGATCACTTAGTAATGCATGGTTTCACCATTAATGGACAGACATTAACCTCTCTGGATCTCTTTCTCTCTCTACTCTCTCTCTCTCTCCTCTCTTTCTTTTTATGTCTCTCTATCTGTGCATGATGTTCTTTGTCAGTGCAGTCCGATGCACCAGCAGTGGACTGTGTGTTGATTTGAATGGCTTAGCTACTCTTGGACATCACTTTTTTTTTTCTACAGTGACATCCACCAATTACTTAGTGCATATCGTGTCAGATGTTTCCATGTATGGTCATTACTAGTTTTTAAAATTGCTTGGTGCTACTGTCCGAGTAGTAGAAGTTTTATTTTTGTCTCTCAGGCAGAATTTTGTCCCCTTACAGCAGTAATTGCCTCTGGAGGGACTCAACGTAATTACACAAGTAATCTGATGAAAAGTAAAGTATCGGCCATCACAATTTGCTTAACTGCATCTTTTCAAATAGCTTTTTTGTGCTCTGTAATTCTGGGCTAAAATCCCAACATTAAAATCACTGAGCAGAACCTGAACTTATAACCTTCTCCACCCTCACATTTTGGAATAACAAAAACAACGATGCCATCGCGGGCAAACGTAGACTTGATGCAACATGCACAGAGGCTCAGGCAGTGGAGAAAGACGTATTCAGATCAGTAACTCAAGTAAAAGTAGCCTCACTGCAACATGAATTAAGGAAACTTTCATTTTAGAAACAGATTCAGTTAATTATGGACACGTGAAACTTGTCTACCTCCCCGTCTCACTTCCTGTCGCCTTGTCTGTCTGTCGTCCAGGACACAGCCATCGTTCACCCGGTTCCCATCCGGATGACGCCCAGTAAGATCCACATGCAGGAGATGGAGCTGAAGAGAACTGGCAGTGGTGAGAACAACCCTCAGGACTCATGTCTGACTGTGACCACCCTGATTTATATCTGATACATAATTATTAGAGGAATCAGTTTCCAGCATTACGTGTAAAGATATATAAAAAAATACATTATATATATAATGATATGACCTCTAACGTGATGTTACTCTGCACTGTTCATGAACATGCAGCAGAAATCCTTTTGACTCAAAATGTTTCCCCTCCCTGTTATTTTTGTTAACGTGTAGATAACAATCACCCGACAAGTCCTCTGCTCACCAAACCTCCAGAACTGTCAGAAGAAACCAATCTACCTGCCTCCATGAAGTTTGTAGCCGCCAACACTGTAGGTAAGAGAACCTGCTGTATGAGAGGCTGCACACTGGATCAAAGCAGTAAATTGGCTCCTTCGTTGTTATAAATGTTAAATCGTGAGTGAAACGAGGTCTATAGATATTTGGACTATTGAAACTTTACAGATGCATCATAAATTGCATTAAATATATGAGCAATGAATGTAAACTCGAGTGTTATTGAATGGTTTATACGTGAGTGGGTTGACAGTGGTTTCTTTGTCTCATGGAGGTGATGGGTACAGCAGTTCAGACTCCTTCACGTCAGACCAGGAGCCAATCACAAGACAAAGGTCAGTAGAGAGGACTTCATTGTATTTCTTAGAGTTTTATTTATTTATTGCTCACGTCCAGAGCTGAAACGATTTATATGGTTACTACGTTGAAAATTAATCTGCAACTTCTCCTTTGGCAAGATTTTCCTTTTTTCCTTTGTTGTATTTCAAGTGATTAACATTAAGTTTGGACTCGTGAGAAATTCAATATTATTCTTGAAAAACACACCTGCTTGTGTTCAGGTCTCAGTCGGGTACGTCTCCAGAGGCTCTGAAGGTGGTAGCCCCTCCTCCCCCTCCACCTCGGCCTCACCCCTCCCACTCTCGCTCCTCGTCTCTGGACATGAATCGCACCTTCGCCGCCGCGTCGGCCACGGGCCAGCAGCAACCCTCTACGATAGCTTACCCGCCTGCTGTGCCTCCTCGACCGCTGCCTACACAGGTCAGACTGACGGCAACAGAAAACCTGAAAGTCCCTTTGCATCTAATTTATGTACAGTGATTAAAAAGGCTCTTGACTCCTTCCCACAGTCATCATTACCACATACTGGGCATCGTGTGGAGGCAGAGGCTGTACCAGGAGGTGGCGCAGGGCTCACCACCACCTCGCCCCAGCAGATGCCTCAACAGCCCAATTTCGCAGACTTCAGTCAGTTCCAGGCCTTCGCTGCCTCCGAGCAGCCTTCCAGCCTGCCGGAGGTCGACAAACACAGCGAGGCCGGACAGGTCAGTTCTCACCTGGACTGTTGTGTCTCTATTTCAACGTTACCGTTCACTCGTGGTAAATATTTAGCAAATGATCTCTAATCTTCTGGGTGAGTCCTGTTACTTGAGAAACACTCTCTCTCTCCCTCTCTCTCCCTGAAACCAGTCCCACACAGTCACATCAGCCTCTACCTTGTTATTGTCCGTCTGCGATCAAAGGTTCCACAACAGAGTCATTAGATCACTGAGTCATTGAACGCTTCATCAGAACTGCTCTTTATTTAACTGATATCTTATCTTAACAGTGGCACATTAAAAAGCCGGCTAACATAAAATCGTTTTGAAATGATGGCGTGTGTGTTTGTTTGTGTCCGCAGGTGGAAAAGGCTCCAGAGGGAGCTGGTCCTTTAAGAACAGTGAAGAGTGACGGTCAAGCAGATGAGAGAACTTCAGCTACTGTCAACTCTGTACGTTACCGTCTGCTGAGAAACCACTGCACCGCAACTACAGATGATCACTGACAAACTGTTATCACTCATTTCAATCTACCTCTTTGAAAACAGTTAAAAAGAGGACAACTCATGTAACATGTTCATTTTTCCCATCAGACCAAAGGGTCATCCGGTCCCCTAGCTCCGCCTCCCAAACCCGTGCGTCGGAGGTTGAAATCCGAAGACGAGCTAAGACCAGAGGACGAGCAGCCCGGTCCGCAGAAATCGAACGTCATAGCCGCTGTGCTCTCCACTCAGCCCTCCATCCCCAGGTAGGAAGGTTTGGTTAATGGTGAGTAGTTCATTTTATTTGTAACTTTTATTAAACGTGTGTATTTGTGTCTTCAGGTCAGTAGGAAAAGACAAAAAATCCATTCAAGCTTCAATCAGAAGAAACAAGGAGACGAACACAGTTCTGGCGCGACTCAACAGTGAACTGCAGCAACAGTTGAAGGTACGGAGGACGAGCGCTCAGATGTTTTCTTTCCCCTTCGGTAGAAAAATAACGTTAACTCCAAACCCATCATTTCACAGGACCTGCTCGAGGAGAGGATATCTCTGGAAGTGCAGCTCGAGCAGCTCAGACCTTTCTCTCATCTTTAGAAGAAAACCTGTGGTTCATCTGAAGCAAAGCTGTGGACCTCGGTGTGAATCCCTCCCTCCCTCCCTCCTTCCATCATCCCGGCTTTCCCCTGAGGCTCCGACCTGCCGCAGGGTCCTCCGTTAAAACTCTCTCACTCATCAATCATCAACCCGAAGGACCGGAGAGCACAGTCTTAACAGGGCGGGACGAGGCGACAGGGAGCGCACAGGGGTTTTTACAAACTGGCACTTTTCAATCTTCTCTGAAGAGAGGCGAAGGTGAGGACGGCGGTGAACCGAGAAACGGTTTCGGAGAAGCGGACGAGACGCTGCGAATGCTGGCGTCTAATTACTTAACTCTCTGAATGACTGAAGAAGAAAGGCGGAGTGAGCGTGTGTGTGTGTGTGTGCCGCGTGTCCGTGCGACTGTTTGTGTTTTTGTGTTCCTGTTTAGTGACTTGAGGCTAGCATCAGTATGTGCGTTCTCTGTTGAGGTTCAGCCACGCCGTATTAACTACCTGGCATATTTAAAGAAAAGACCCGAGATGATTATCAATCTTAAGTAAAAATAGTACATTTTGCAGAGTTTGCAAGTGTTGAACAAATTCTTTCATTGTCGTCTTTTGCTTGTTGGCTCAAGTTTTTATTCCGGTTGCCACGAATGAGGACGTTAAACTACCGGGGAAAAACAGGACCTCAGCTCCAAATATCATCAAAGATAGTTTGTTCCGGGGCGACAGCAGCCTTTGTCGCTGGCGCTCCGAATATTTCAAAAAAGGAATAATTAAACATAGATCTCAGAAACATCCAACAGGAAGCTTCCTCTGCCAGTAAACATGAGAAACTGGAGTTTGGTGTAGTTGGATTCCACCATAAAACATACTACGCTACCTCTGGACACGACTGTGTGTGTGTGTGTGTGTGTGTGTTTTTGATTTGCATTTAATGGCTAAATCATGGTGAAGGCTTGTTTGACTCATCCTGTGACATGAATTCAGCCCTCACCCCTCCTCTTACTGCCCTCCGACATCTGTGTGTGTGTGTTCGGTGACGATCTGAGATAACGAACGAATGCTTCGTCTGTTGTTTCCTCCACGTTACAGTGTTTTGGGTTCGATGTGACTGAATGATTTAACTTTAATGCCAAATGACTGAACTATCACTGCTCTCTACTTCTACTCGGACTGTTTAAAAAAAAAAAAAAAATAGATATTAAAAAGAACCGCAGCTTTCTCTCCCTTCCTTTTCCGTAACGTAGCCGTGGCTCAACATTTCAAACGCTTCAGACCTCGTCTTCTCGATTCCCGAGGTTGTCTCCGGTCTTTTAAGAACAGACGTTCACATGAAGGGTTTGAAGACTTTTCTCTTTTCCAGCTGCTCCACTGCAGGAGGCGGCGTTTATGAAGAATCGTGTTGCTGATGGAGAAGAAGTTTTTCCTGTGATTGTTTTATTTTATTTTCCTCGGCAGACACGTGTGCACAGATCCAAACAAGTGGTGCAGATAGAGCTGTTTTCCAACCGGGCGGTCGGCACTATGCAAGAACGGGCGATTCATCTCCACAGACCAACTCTACTTAGCTGTTTGACTATGATAGTAGCAACTGTGTGAACAGTACACTGATTTTTTTGTATCATAGATCTTCCAGAAACAACATCTACTGTATGTTTCATTTTGCCTTTTCTTTTTTTTTGACGAGCAGTCCACTTCCCACTCCTGCTCCCAGCTCCAGAGAGAAATGAACTCCAGATCAGTGTTTTATTATCGGGGGCGATTTTCACCTGAAAGCTGCAAAGTGAAGCTCAACAGACGGAGACCAGTCGACAGAACGGGACACCTGAACGACCTGACAGCACTTTGAACCTAACTCCCCTTACTTCTGTTGTTCTTTTATTTTGTTACGTCCCTCCTCTTTCTTTCTTTTAACCTGCATGTTGTCGTTTCTTTTTTTGTTTTTCACGTGTATTTAAAAAAAAAAAGATGCTTTAAGATGAGAAAAAAAACTGAACCACTCGAGTTTTATTTCTTCACTACAACCTGGAAATTGTAAGGTTTTTTTTGTGCCAGTATCCTGAATTATCCCGTCTTGTGTGGTTAATCTTTTTTCTTTTCTTTTTTTTAATGATTATTATTATAAATGTTTCGTCCCTGGAGCTTTATGTGTGTTGGTGAAGAATCTGTCTTCTTCTAAGGCCTTACTCCCCCTCGACTGGCGTTCAGGTTTCCACGGCGGCTGACTGAACTCCCTCTTCCTTGTCGTATCAAGGCTCGCCTTCTTTTTTCTGCTGTTGAGGACGATGATGTACTTGGTGTGTGTGTGTGTGTGTGTGTGTGTGTGTGTGTGTGTGTGTGTTATATTTTTTTCCAGGCCTGGAACTAATACCATTTAAAACCCTGTTAAACACCTTCATGTGGGATCGATTTATGTTTGCAAGCACAACAGCTCCCTCCTCATCCCTTGAACCCAAAAGGCAATCCAGGCAGGCAGGAGCAATCGATAAAAGTCTTTGGTGGGATTTTGAATGCTATTTGCTCCCAGATCTGTGTTGTATATTGTATATGATACACACTTTTTTGGACTCATGTAAATTTGCATTAATTGCTGACTAACAGCGAAAGAATATTCTATTTAATTCCTTCTCTCTTGGCTGTGGGATCCTAGATGTTTAACTGCATGGATGTACTGTATCTCTGCAGAGTCAACTAGCAGCTGTGTGATTTTTACACAAAAATAAAAACGGCACAATATTTTAAACTCTGCCCCCTGCACAGACTCCTTTGTCAAACTGGTTCCGGTTTGTAAAAGAAGAAAAAGAGGTTTCGTTGAAGAAGAATCTTCCAGCAGAATCCTGGCGAGTTGAAAAAGACATTAAAGCAACACTGTGCAACTTCTCTACCTTGAAATATCAGCTGCACAATTCTGAGGGAATGTTTCCTCTTTTAATTCCACTCCTCACTGCTCTGTTAACTTTTTGTACCATGTGAGACAAGTTATAAAAAAAGTTAACGACTGGTGAATTTGTTGCAGCTCCTCTGGGTCAGGAAGCCGGGGATCATGGGTAATATCCTCCACTCAGCTGTGATTCAGTTCAGTCAGAGTGAATACATTTAAAATGATATAATAATCAGGATTAATCTCCACCTGTGACCGCAGAGGGCGCTGTTGCTCAGTAAAAGTTCCATAGTTGATTTTAAATATTATCTTCTCAACTCTTATTTGTATCTGGTGCAACATTTGACTTTGCATACATCTTCACATTCAACGTTCACTCTGTAAAATGCATCTGGCCGAGGTGGAAACATAACCTCATTGAGTTCTCTGGAGAATCCCACCTTCAGAGGAGAAACGTGCACAGAGACGCAGTAGTTTGAGCAGGTTTTATGAAATCTCCAAGCATTGCTTCATCGCTGGGTGGTTTTACAGAGCAACTCCGAGACATCTTCAAATATTAATTTCTTAATTTCCCAAGTTTTATTTCTCCAATCAGTGATTTGAACTCCGGCAACTAACTTCAACCAACTCAGATAAAGACTTATCGGAGATCTGCCGAGGAGTAGACCAGGTCGTTAAAGTCACTGAAACAGAGTAAACTTCCTATGTGTTTCTAACAAACATCTATTTCTCTTTATACTGAAGCAAACAGTTGAATCTACATGTGTGAGAAAAGCTGAATGCAGAGAACAAAACATTACAGAGAGAATTACAGAATCAGTTTTGGCTTTTTTAAAGGAAACTTGCATTAATCATTTAAATGCTGCAGCCTGTTTCAGACCGGCTCAGGGCCGATTATCTACCCGACATCTCCTCGCACAGCAGGACACGTGACAATATGACTCTCTGAGGTGAAACTGTTTGAAGAAGCAGGACGCTGAGAGGTTTTACATCAGGGTCAGGGTGGGGGGGGGCTTCAGGTTGTGTTTTTTTTCTGCAGAACATTCTCTCGTCAGCGGACAGTGCAGAGCGAAGCGTTACTTGACAATACTGTAATAAAAAAATCAAAAGAAATACAGAGATTAGAGCTTTTCACAGACATCTCATGATTTAAATGTGTTATTATTCTTATTATTATTCTTATCATCTGTTTTCAGTTGAGAAAAAGAAGAGAAATGAGGAAACATGAACTAAGGACAGAAGAATAAAAAGTGTGATATAAGAAATGAAGAAAATAAAGATGATATAAGCGATGGATTGTAAGTTAATTACATATTAATTATATAATACTTAGTGATGTAACACAGTAATCTTTTGTTTTTTTTATTACTCTATTATTTAATTCATAGTTACCATACATAGATATGAGAATAACATCGTTCCTGTCATCTAAATGATGTTTGATGTGTTTTTCCTGCAGTGACCTGGTTTGACACTCACACTGCGGTTTCCTTGTAGCGGTCCAGAGCCTCCTGAGCCACCACCTCCGAGAACTTGGGGTCGGTCCAAGGGATGTCGCCCGGCACGGTGAAGTTCATGGAGGGAGAATCGAACAGCTGCAGGGACACGTCCGTCTCTCCGGGCTGCTTGTCCTCGCCGGGCTTCTCCTCAGGGTCCCTGCTGATCACCTGCAGCACAGAGAGGGTTGAACTTCACACTATGTTATCCTGCACGTTGTAGAGCCAAAACATCAACGCTCATTTTAATCACATATCCTCTTCATTCGAATGATTGAGACAACTTTTATAACCTTTTTCATAAAATATAAGAACAAACAGACACTTGAAATAATCACAGAAATATAGTGAATATTGTATATTTCCACTGATCTAACAGGTCTGCACATGTCCAGCTTCAGTCCTCACAGCTCCTACGGACGGAGACACTTCCGTACCGTCTGAATGTGGAAGATACCGTCCTTGCTGTCCGTGTTGTTGGCCAGGGACGACACCCAGCCGAACTGCCGGTTGAACAGGTCCAGGATGGAGGAGGTGTTGAACATCTGCTCCTCGAACCTCCTCAGCAGGGAGTTGTACTGCTGAGTGAAACGCTCGGCCATCGCCAGGGCCTCCTCCAGCTCCTCCTTCAGGGGCCCCTCCAGAGGTCTCCTCCCAGAGCAGTCTGTGATGAATGACCTCATCATCATCATCCTCCTCGTTATATTTATTTCATTATCACTTGTATTTACTTGTTTATTTTGGATTAAGAGTAGTATTTTGTTGAGTTCTCTCACCGACGTGTTGGAGCTCTTTGCACTTCTCGCACTCATCGCGGAACTTGAGGCAGCCGGCAGAGTTGCGACGAATCTCTCTGCAGGTCATCCTGCCGTTGCCAAAAGGTTTAGTGATCACCACGTCCTCTTTCATACTGCCGTCTGCAGACAAACAAGAGAGGACGAAGGGAAATGAAAAGCAATGAAATGGTATGAAACTCAGCACCAAACACTGATTTAAATTGTTGTTACTCTTTCTCTTCAAAACTTTTAACAGTTTATTTGCCAACAGATTTTGTACTAATTAAACTTTCAACCACTAAATTCTAGTGTTCTGAACCGTAACATGCATTTTTCATATCTCGTGAGTTTTAACTTGAGTTTGTTTTTGCATTTTGATTTGAATGGGAACCATGTTTTCTCATGTTGCTTTAAAACCTCACAAACTTCTCTTATAGCTGCTGTAAACATGCACGTGACCAAATATAAACGTGTTTCAGATTGTGATTCAGACACTTGAAAGTATTTTTTCATAAAGTATTTGAGGTATTTTTACTAAAATGTTACATGAAAAAAAGAAAAGAACAAATGTTTCGTGCTGATAAATAGTGAAAAAGAAAAAGAAATAACAATAAACTGTGAGGTTCAAACCGACAGATCCAGCTTTTATTTTTCAGTGGTTGTGATTTTGGTTGAGGTTTGTCGTACCTTCGTTGGGAACAGTGTCAGCGTCCGTGTCCATCATGGAGTCCATAGAGCCGAAGAAGTTCCTGCCCATCCCCATCATGGGGGAGAACAGGCTCTGGAAGCCTTGGAAGGGATCGTGGAACAGAGAACGAACACTTCTGCTGTGACGAGTGAACGGGCTCAAGAAACTGGGAAAGAAGACCGGAGGGTTGTAGTGGACGTGATCCGCCACCTGAGAGAAGAACAGAGATGATCCATCGATGCACTGGTTGTATTTTCATATGTCACTATTATGACATGAGTCTCTTGTTTATCGGTGAGATTTAACGGTACCTTCATGCTGTCTGAAAAGATGCTGTCCACTCCGTCAGCCATCACAGTGTATTTCTCCTCCAGGTTCTTAAACTCTTTGTCCTGTCGCCGGTCCTCCTGCTCCAGGACATCGATTTTCTCCCCGTTGATCCAGATGGAGAAGGGAGACGTCCTGTTCAGCACATCCTCCAGCTGCAGAGACAGAGAAACAGCTCAGGTCCGTTTGGTTCATTCTCTCTATGATTGATTTGCATAACAATATGTCATCAATACATCGGCACCACTTGTAAAAGCTGCCATTGATATAATGTTTGGATTATGATGACAAACAGGCCCCGGTGACGTCGAGTTCGAGTCTCACCTGGCGTCCCACCAGTCCTGATCCACTGCTGCAGGTCCTGGAGTAGTATTTGACGCAGGTGTTCTTCAGACAGGGCTTACACTCCTCCCACAGAGCCTTCATGGTCTCGTTACAAACCTCCTCCTCCTGCTCCAGCTTGGCCTCCATCTCCTGAGCCGTGTGCAGCGCTTCCTGCAGCAACACAGACACATTTCATCTACTGATTAAACAAGTGATTTGATGGAGCAGCCTCTGTGGTGCTGCTTGATAACAGGCTGTGCTTTTCTGTTCAATTCCTGTGATTCTGGAAACTATCAAACCCTTTGCTGATCTTCTAATTTTAAATTTCTTTGAATAAAACAACAGTTTTTACATCTGGGTTCGTTAAGTTCCTCCTGAAGATGAATAAACCACTGGATTTTAGACTTTACAGCATATTTACTGTTCTACAGTAGTTGAACGACTCCACTGAAATAACTAGTCGATCAAAATCCTCCACATAATTCATTCATCTGTCATTTGAAGATTCTACGATACAAAGAAATCCAAAGTATCACTGTAGTTATCGAGTACGTCTTTCTGCTGCTTGGTTTTCTCCAGAGCGTCCAGAAACTTCTTGTGGTCCTCTGAGGATTTCTGCATCACGCTCTTCATCTCCTTCACTCCGTTCACGGCGTTTTCAACCTGCTTGGCCAGATACTTCTCTCCCTGAAGAGAGAGCTCTGCAGACACAAGAAAACACGGCACACGCTCACGGTGAGTCTTTACTGAGTTTCATGTATTTCTTAACATACTCAGATACTCTAACTCTACTTTTACATGCCCAAAATGTTTTATATTAGATTTCTGCTGCTTCTGCAAATTATATTTTGTACGTGGTTCTTTAATGCATTAAATATTTCATATTTCCTGCACCAGGTTGTTTTTGATTACTCTGCATAATCCAAATCATTCTGCGGTTTTCCTAATTTATGGGAAGAATTAGAATAAAAACACATTTTTATTTTTCTGATCTGAGTGAACTGACACTGTGTATTTTCCAGGTGCTGTGAAACCTACGGTCCAGATCCTGTCTGTGTGGAGGGAGGATGCAGTTGGCCGCAGCCAGAAGAAGAGTCACCACAGCCAGACACTTCAGCCCCTTCTTCTTCATCATCATCATCATCATTAACATCCTCTCCGACTCTCACTGGGCCAGCAGGCAATGATGAGTAAAACCTGGAGACACACGATAACACACAGGTTGAGTTTGGGGCCTCCGGACTGTCGTAATGTTTTTGCACCGTCCCTCCATCACCAGCAGAGGACGATGTCTGCTGCAAAGACCTACGCAGTGGAAAATGGACGCTGGAACACAGACTGTGTCCTGTGACACAGCAAAACAAGAACCAATCAATACTTAAGTAGACCAAAGTCATGCAGAATGAATGGATCGTCTTTCTCTGCAAAGACTCTGACGCCAAACTGACCTCGGATCAGCGTTTCCTGTGACTTTGACTTGTCTGACATGAACTACACACACACACACACACACACACTGGCCCCCTCCCTCTCTGCAGTACCAATCTCTCTATGAGTCTAATCTCTGTTCATTATTTCTAAACCTGATCCTCCTCTTCCCTCTGAACACACGTGTCTGAATGCATCAGTTCATTTGTCTTTTACATTAGTGACACTATTAAAAACTGAGCTTGAAGGTTCACACTTAAAAAGAAATGTTTGGGGACTTTTCTTGAACTTTTCAGACAAATCTCGAAGCGTGAAGCCAAAGTGATGTGGGTCTTTAACCCCCTCCTCCTCCGTGTTACTGCTTGGGACAGGGACCAAACTAAAACATTAAAATACACTTTCAAATAAAATTTCTGTCAACTTAGGAAGTTGTTATCACACTGATGTTTGTAATGATCAATTTGATGCCATAAATACTTGGTGGAACATCACGATTGACATCTGAAACTAGACTCCGGCTCCAAAATCTCTTGAAACTCTACTCGGTTAAAGTAGTTCTATATTATTCAGCAGAATTCATGCCAGGTTGTTTCTGGTATCTGTCCTCATCACGTAACAGATAAACTCAGGGCAGCAAAGCTTCATCTAAAAATGTCCCCGACTGTTCCAAACCCTGCAGGACTGCACGAACGCCTGGGAGCTAAGAAAATAACTTCCTCCTCGCTGCGTGAGCACACGAGTTCCTGAGTTTAGCACCGAGCCACAGCCACTTACACAACGAGCTCATTATTCATGTGACGATAAACCTCAAGCTTAATTACAGCGAGCCAGTAGGTGGACGCTTAGTAAACAGTGAGATCTTTTTTTTTAATGAGAAAACACCCAGAAGGGAAAGACTGAGGAAAAGGACGAGAGAAGAAAAGCAAAGTGAAAAACAAAGACGGAGGAAAAAGTGAAAAGAGTGAGAGTGACACGGAGAGAAAAGGTGAAATAATTTACGCAGCAGAGGTGGAGCTGTGTTTTTTTTCGCTGAATAGCAGCTGCTGGGATCCTGGTCACACAAGTGAAAGAATGTAAACCGTCCAGCAGCTCCAGATGTTGTTGCCTGAACGGGCGGACAGGAAGTTCAGCTTCAGCTTCATGAAGTGAAACACAGAGATGAGAGTAACATCTGTCCACTACATCCTCAAATCTAAAACTACTATTATTTTACAATATGTTATAATCCTACATATTATATCAACATTATATTATTATTGAATTCTTATCATAGACTGTGTATAAACATGGACAATGCAGTTCCACTTCTCCCCACTGTTCAGAAGTGAAGCCAAAAATATTAACGCCGCCATCTTGGACCTTTGAAATCTGCGCAGTAGTGATCATGTTTACAAACATCAGTGAAATGACAGAATCCATGTTTGAGAAAAAATTTTATTCAATATGTTCTTTGACTTTTTAGTTTGGTCCATGTCCCATCTGCTAACATGGAGGAGGTGAGGTTATACAGCCACACATAACCATTCATTTCTCTAGATTATTAAATTTTTTGTTCAACTAGATCTTTATTGTGTTATGTTTCATCCCGTCTCCGTCACTGACGTCTTATCTGTTTAAACGTCTGCGTCTGAAATTCCAGTTACAGAAAGTGAGATTCCCCTCGAGATGCTGGTTCTTGTTGTCATTCCACGAATGATTCTGCTGGAAAATACGTACAAACGTCTTTTTCCTCGTCAGGGAAGGAAGAAGAAGGAGCAGTTACCTAATCTGGATCATCCAGGTTCCATTTACAACAACTGGGACACTGGAGCGTTCGGCCTCATTTCGGCCTCATTTCAAGCGTTTGGGGATTTTTGACCTCGGAGGATTCACCTGTCTTATGGATCTATGCTAAATTCAGCTCAGGGACAAAACAGAAAATCTGCAAAAATCCCTAAAATGTAGCCGGCACATAACTAACATAATCAAAAAGTCATTTTACAGTATTTATACTTTAGGATGACAACTGAATGTGAATAATTATTAAAATACTAAATGTACATTTGATTAAAAATCCTTCCTGCTCGTATCTTCCAATCCATCAATCATCAAACAACATGTTTATAACGTCTCAGTTTAAAAGCCCCTGTGCTCCAAAGTGAACCAACATCAATGTCATGATGTCATCAACACTAATCCTGTTGTTTTCATCCAAAGATGGAGGTCGCACCCATGAGTAAGCAACATAAACAACAGCCCCAGCCGTGAGGTCAGCATTTCTGCGACTGCAGGCACCAACATTTCCAAACAGAAAATCAAAGACACATAATGGAGATGGATCAGATTCAGAAACGTTGAGACGAATCTGGAAAAGGCATCATTCTGTTCATCGTTCACATTTTGTCAGAATAAAACTGTTATGAAGCATAAAAACACAAAATACTTTTCCTCTGAGCATCACTGAGCTGCAGGCTGAGAAAATAAAAGCATTCTCTGTGACTCACCTCTGCTTGTTTCCTGAGACTCCAGACTGTCTGAAGCTGCCTCAGCCTCTCTGCTGCTCCTTTTTATACCCGTGGATAACGGGGATGGTGCAGACATGTGATTCACTGAGCAGGCATGTTGTCTGCTGGCGTCAGACTGCTGGGAGAGAAGAGCCCGTGTCCTGTGATACCCTTCAAAATAAAACCACAGGATGGACGTTAGAATGGGGTAAGGGGCTAATGCACGAATCAAGAATATCAAGGATGAATGATTAAAGAATTAAATCTAAGATTGTCGATCCCGAGTCGGGGGAACTTCACTTTTGTGCAGAAGCAGAAAAGAGAAAAGTTCAAAATAGAATAAAATAGATGAAACCTGATAACGAGCATCATGTTCAAAAACATGATTCATCAGATTTTCTTTTTTCCAGTTCAGATGCTCACCTATGCATCATAGAGGTCAGAGGTCAGTATGGGATCTCTGTGGCTACGCAGCCTCATATGCATTAAACTGAGATGCATCATAACCTGCAATAATCTGTATCATTGAGCCTCGGGCATCCACGACACTGTTCCCAGTCCTGGTTGTCCTTCATCAGACCTGTATAAAACAGGTAGATGAATCTAGGATACATTTAATTTGTAGATAATATAATATAGTATAAAAATACAGGGCTATATAAAGATAAACTACAGTAAAAACACGTGTAAGCAATGTGTAGAATATAGTGTGAATCTTCTACTTCTACTTCTAGTATAAGTGCTTTTACTTGAGTACAGGATCTGAGCAGTTCTTCCACCACTAAAAGGTTAAACCTAACACGTCTCTTCAGTATAAAAAGCTCAAATAAAGAGCTTAAGAAAACCTTTGAGCTATTATTTTGAAATCAGAATCTGTTTTCCTGTTGACGAGGTGTCTGACTGTATCTGACTCGAAGCTGCTGAGCCTGAGGACTTTTCCAGAAGTGTTGTGAAGTGTTGGCAGCAGCACTGACAAAAACACAAAAGTTTATTCATCCTGACCATGACTCATCATCTTACAACTTCACTTTCACGTTGCATTTATCTGCAAGTTACCGAGAAAGATTTTATTCATAACAGGACACGTGCACAGAGAGGAGAAAACACATAGAGGCAACAAATCAAAACAAAAAATAGACAATTAAACAGCGAACCATTAAAAACTGTTTTGATAGAAGCTGCAGGGCCCCGGGTGCTCACCTCCAAAATATCCAACAACCACAAACACACACTCAATAACCATAAAGTGGTGCAGATCCAAAACATCCAGGAAGACACACAAAATACAAAAATAACCCAAATAAACATCCACATGCATTAATCATCCAGTTACATGGTGTTTAATTTACAATATCTACTGTATAACCACACTCAATTATAATATGTAGCCTGGTCAATGCAAAACATGCTGTTAAAGAATCAGAATCCACTTTCTAATGAACTGTAATTAATCAAAGACACAAACATCTGGATGGAGACAGTTAGTTGCTAACGAGGCTCGTCAGAGACTCAGCTCTTCTCCAGATGTGCTCGATGTCATTGATTCAGGTCACTGAGCTTCTTATTGCTTTGTCTGAAAAAAGGAGCAGCTTGTACCGACAAGCAACACTTCCCATCAGAGTGAGTGAGGAGGCTTCTGGGAATTTAAAACAGCAGAGGGAGGGGTCAACACACACACACACACACACACACACACACACACACACACACACACTCAGATGCTGACCTGATACTGGGGGGAATAGAAAGAAATAGAAAATCATTGTAAAAGTGCAAAACTACACAAATATATTAATTTAGGACATTGAAAAATAAATTATTTAAAGTTTTTATCATTTCAAAATCTTTTAGAATATGTAAAGACCAGTGTCTGCTGGTGTCTGGACAGATGTGAACTATGCGTGGACGAGGATGAACTTCGAGACCAGAGGGATCCGGCATAACAGATAAATCATCATCATGTGTCTCATTCACATGTTTTTCTGTCTGTGAACCTGTTGCAGGATATTTTTTCATCAGTGTAAAAGACAAATGTGACACTAGGAGGCAGCACCTCCGTTCTTCATCACATTCTGAACGCTGTCTACACACATGAAGGTCACATAGAGGAGTTATATAAATCTGGTTATATATAATTTAAATTCATATATTTAATAATTGTGATACAATCATCTTCTGATACACACATCATGTATATGATTGTATTATTATATGTGACAGTGATATTAAATAAAGCTTCATTTTAACCACCTCATCATAGGTCAAGGTCATAAAACTTGCCTCCTCCATGTTAGTGGTTGGGACATGACCAAACTAAAAAAAGAAAAAAAAAACTTGTTTAAATGCCAGTTTTCCAGTAAGTTTTGTTCAAATTAGTTATTTGATGCTATAGAAATTGGTGAAATGATTCACAGCTGAGACTGAATTGTGATTTGAATTGCGGGAACTCGATTCCGCGGCTCCACAGCACGATCAATGCTATGGAGATCGGCTCAAGATAGCAGCATTTGTAAACATTTGGGCTTCATTTTCTGCAGGAAGACGTGGAGACGTGTCGTCCATCTTTCATGTAGAGGCTATGTTTACATCCCAAACACGTGTGAGTGCATCTTGTGTAAAGCAGCTGACTCGACATCTCAATTGAAACCATGCAGCTCTGGAGCCAATCCTCAACCGATGGCATTAATTTCAACAATTCGGCACAAACACACGGAAAGAGAGCGAGAGGGAGCTGTGACTCGGCCTCCTCTGGCTTCTTGAACAAAACATGATAATCAGCAGCTTTAATTGGTCCCATCGGTGGCGCTGAACGACCTGTGGCTGACAGGCCGCAGATGAACTTCAAACATTCCTGTGATTCTGGTATCAATTTAGGGAATCGGGAAATTGTGTTTCTGTGAGTGAGTTGGAATGTGCACGAACTGAGGCGATTAAGAAACTTCACGTTCTAATGAAACACTGGTGGATTCGTGGTCAAACACCAGCCAAACAACATTAACATTGAATTTACTGGAATTCAAATTTTTCACAAACTGATCATGGCTGTGAGGACTTCAACTTTTCTAGAGAAGGAAAAGTACAAAACATTCAGGGACCTAAGATTACGGTTACGGTGGTGATGCAAAGCAATTACATTGCAATCTGCCGATAAGAGTGAAGCAGTAAACACAGTGAAGAATGTCCTTGAGGGTATTACGAGTGTTCCGGAACATGTTTTCGTAATTGGTCGACTATTATGTCAAGTTTTAATACCTTCCTCTTTGTCACAGTCATTTGTACGAAGAGCCACTGATCTGATTATCTCCACCTCCACGAAAACAACAAACAAACGTTTCCAGGGGACCGAAAAAGTGATGAACTGAGCTGTAGTTCAATGCTTTGTGACCCTAAACTATCAAACTGATTATTACGTGCTGCTGTTCACCTCCTGTCGTGACTCGGTACCTCTTCTTATTTCCTGTTTTGTTTTGAAACTTCTTTCCCTGTGTGTGTCTCTCTTCATTACTTCCTGTCTCTGTCTGATTTTCCTGCTCCTGTGATCGTCGGCACCTGTTTTCACCTGTGTCACACCTGAGTTCAATTATCTCTCACCTTGTGTATTTAGCTCTGTGTGTGTGTGTGTGTGTGTGTGTGTGTGTGTGTGTGTGTGTGTGTGTGTGTGTGTGTGTGTGTNTGTGTGTGTGTGTGTGTGTGTGTGTGTGTGTGAGAGACTCTGGTTCTGTGTTGTTAACTGAGTTCTTCTTGCTGACTCAACGTTAGCCTGTTTATTTTTGATTGAATATTTCTCCTTGCTGTGTTTCGTATGTTTGCACCTCAGCAAAAAGTGTGACACCATCAAAATGACGTGACTTCTTTACCTTCTGAAAACTCTTCTGTGGCCGAGTTGTTTAAAAATCACATTTCCTTGTGTATTCTCTCCTGTAGCTTAAGGGTCTCATTTTTTTCACCTTTGTGTTTTTCATGTGATTTCTCAGATTAATTCACTGATCTCAAAACAAAAATCTGAAATATTCAGTGGACTGAGATATTTATGATTGTGTCATTCTGTGCAATCCGATAATAAAGTATTTCTGTTCCATTCATGATGATGAGAAACTTCATCTACAAAGCACCTCTCTCAACTACAAGGTACTTGGAAAGAGCTGGAAGAACTGAAGACAAACAATGGGGAACAAATAAAAGCTGTTTGAAATAAAGCGGTCAAATTGCAACAGATGAAAAAAGTAAACAACATTAAACAGCTTGTTTTCTCATCGTGATAAACCACATTTATTTTTGTGAGTGCTGTTTCTGAAGCACAGTAAGTATGAATGTAACCCACTGGAAACTATGATATCGATCCAGCATGTTATTTTGTGGTATTTAACTATAATGAAAACATCAGAGTGAGAACAGGACTGGAAATAAGTGAAGTGAAAACACTGGGATCCCAGACGTGTGTGTGTGTGTGTGTGTGTGTGTGTCGGTGAGAGAATTACACCTGCTGTTAGTCTCACACAGTCGAGGTGAGAGAGAGAAAACTGGAGCCAGAGAGGGATTAAAGCTCTGACGTGTGTGTGTGTGTGTGTGTGTGTGTGTGTGTGTTCAGAGGCCATTTTCCCGTCTCGAAGGCCAAGGCTTCAGATATTCAAGGTGCTCGCTCCACAATGTCCAGACATTTGTTAGCAATTAGCCTCGGCCACAAGGCAAGACTGACTTTCAACAGAACACAGCGACCTTCCCTCCCTCCTTCTCCTCTCTCTCTCTCTCTCTCTCCTTTCTCACTTTTTTTTTCACCCTGTCCCTTTTCCAGTCCCTCCCTCATTTTCCAGTTTCTTTGTTCCCCTCCCATCTCTCTCTCCCCTTTCCCTGCCACTCTTTCTCTTCCTCCCTCCCTCTCCCTTCTTTAAAGTCGCACATGGTTTCAGTCTGAGGAAGTTTAGTTTTTCTCAGGCTCTGGATGGGAGAGGGATGATGCCAGAGAGCTGCAGGCAAACACACATGTTCAAAACTTAGAGGAACTTTTTGCCAGTGACCTTCAGCACTGATGCACTTGTTAAAAATCTGTGCATCCTTTTGTGCATGTGACCGAATCCTTTAATTTAAGTGTTCCTCTCTGTGGAAGTCATTTTTGGAACTTTTTGGACTTTGGTGACAAGTGGAAAATGTTGCACAAAGTGATTTTGCTGACACCTCAGGGGTAAATTGCTGAATCGCTGTTTTCTGGACATTTGCTTTGTGGGGGAAAAAAAAAATCTGAAGCATCACCTGCATCATCGCGCTGAGCTTCAGCAAACTGGACAAGCTGCTAATAGAGGATTCTTGAGGCAGGAATCATGAAAGGTAAAAACGTTTGTATTCTGATCTCCTGCTACATCTTCCTGTGTCGTGCATGAACATAATGCAACAGTTTGTGTCATGGTGGCACCTGCACAGGGCACCAGAGCCCACATATGTTTCTCATCTGCTCTGAATCCTGGCAGTGTGTGGATCCTGAGAAAGTGGGCTTGTTGTTGTTGGCCGAGGGACTTTGATCAGTCAGCTTTAACTCTCCGTGTGTGCTCGCTCACCACATCCCCATTTCATAAAAACATTCAAATGTTATAGCTGCCGGTCAGATTGACTTAATATCCTCTTTAAAAAAAAAAGTTTAAAAAAAGGAGGTAGAGTGAAAACACAAGATTTAAATTTCAGAGTTTTCACAAACTGGCATGAAAGGAAATCTTCCAGTGGCTTTGAAGAGGGCAGCGGCTCGTTCATGTTTCAGTGAGAGGAGCGAGAGGCTGACAGAGATGGAAGGAAACAGTCAGAGAGGATAACACGGGGGAATGAAACTCACCCACATGTGGGTTTAGAGCTGCAAGATGTTGGGACGTGTTGACATGTTCATGACAGTAATTTCCACGTGATGGATTTAGCCTTGTATCTATTACCATATAACGAATAGATGTATAATAAAGATATAATCACAGATCACTTTGTGAGTCTTGTGATGTGTCTTTCTTTGGATTATGGTTCAGTTTCTGTGGTGCGAGTGTTTAAATTGACCGCTGAGTGAGCTCCTCTCCTAAATAGCAATTGTCCAATCACACTCTTGTTAGTTTAGACTCCAGCCGCCATCACCTGAAACATTACGTCAGCCAGTCATCATCCTAACAGCTGCTTCTCTGGTGACATTAACTTCTATAACGGTTTCTAATTAGTCGTACGTTTCTGTTCCTTTGCTCGGTGTGAGCTCACATCAGCTGCTGAAGATGCCGACTTCTGTCTCGTGCACGTTTAAAACACATACACAAAAAATTATCACTATTGGAAGCAATAAAAAGTTTGTCGGACTAACAATAGAGCTGACAAAAGTGCTCACTCCTGCCACCTAGTGGTGTCTCCAGGTTGGATATTATACACTAGCACTTTTCTTAAAGTTTCAAAGTTCCTTAACCGAAGGGACAAATTGTATTGATGTGATATTGTTGAGAAGTATCAACGGCAGTGTTGTGTCATGAATTGTGTTAATATGCAGAAAAAGGGTCCCAGTGATTTTGGTTAAGTTTAATGAATAGATTCTGCTGCTATTTCATAAAACAAATTGTATTACAAATGTAAACTTGACGTTTTTTTGGTATTTGTTTCCTTTTTCTCCACGGGTCTTTATATTTTAGCACAGTTTGTCTGTTGAATTACGTAATTCTACTTCACCAATTAAGGGAAATTAATAGGAGTGAAAACAAAAACAAATTAAATCAAACTCCACTTCAAGTAGGCGTTTACATCAGCGTCTCTGTTTCAGTTTGAGCCTCGAGGGGAGCCATGAATCACGAGGCGACACAGCAAATTAACTCCCAGAACATATACAGTACCCTTCACAGCCCGGCAGCACAGGAGGTCTGTTGATGTGGTTTCCAGTCTTGCAGAGAATGAATCCAGCCCAGCCCGACCAGAACAAAACATGCTGCCTCATACATTCCTAATGGGGCCGGGGTGGGCCGGGGGGAGAGGAGGGCGGCGGTGGTGGAGGAGGAGAAGAAGGGGGAGGAAAAGCGGGAGGACAGGAGACAGGTGTATGGTTGGCAGAGGACGAGGAAAGAGTGAGAGAACGGGAGGAACAGAAAGAGGGAGAGATTTTCTCTCTGTTTTTGCTGTGCCTGCTTCAGGAACTGACATTTTGAGTTTGGACAGAAAGAAGAACTTGTTCTCTCCGTGTCCACTCTGCACCTTTTGGTTTATTTTTGCTGCCTCAGATTCACTATCGAAGTGTTTCTGCTCGACTTCTTCCTGTTTTTACACGGACGCTGAAAATGTTGAATGTGCAGCAGCGAGATACTTATTTAAAAAAATAGAGATATTCTTCTTCCCGTTGTTAAGAGATAAACCATAAAAGTGATTTGTCAGATAATTGTGCCTCTAAATTTGTGGTAACAGCTCGTTTAGGTCCAACGTGACAGCGCCCCCTGTCCACAAACCCAAGATTGCGTCAAACTGACATTTCTTAAAGTACTAAGTTCGTAGGAACTGCTACCTACTTTCAATTAGAAGCTGTTTTAGTCAATTAAATTGCACGATTACATCTCCCTCAGTGAAATGTCTCAGCAGACTTTAGCAATGTGTATATTTGTTGATGGAAATTAACTGTGCGACCAGCCATTAGCATCATGTAACATCACAAGTTTATTTATAGATGAATATCGATTATTGTGCAACTAGTGAAACCAAAATTAAAAAAATGTCCAGTTTCAAACAACATTTTGGACCCATTACCTTTTTCTTCAGTCTGAAACTGCAACATGTTGTGATTCAGTAAATTACTCTTTAGTAAACAAAGCCACCTAAGTGTGTAATCGTGAAAATCTCATCTGCAACAATCTATAGATGATTTGGCACAAAATAACTTGACTGGTATCTCGACTTTTAATCAAAAGCTAACTTCCATTCAGAGCTTGTCTTATTATTCATCTCTATAGAAATTTCATCTAAGTGGATGATTACATGACCTTTGAGAGCAAGTAAGAACACCAAGAAACCTTCAAATAAAGCGTTAGAGAATATCGTCCACACCCTTTGGCCTCGCAGGCCTGTAAAACCCAACCGGGCTCGTCTCTGTGTCCCAGCCTTTGCAGTTTAATCCAGAGAAAACATGATGCGTTTATGGGACCGTGACTCTGAAGATCTCCTGTTTCACAGCCAAACCACAATAAAAGAACATTCCCTTGTAATGGCTCGTCTAAAACTGCAGCTTCACAGTCTGCAGCAACACATACCAGGTGTTTATAGTTGTGCGAGGAGACCGCACATTCCAGTCAGAGGGCACCTAAATGACTTGGAAGAGGTCAGAGGTTTTGGAAAGGGATTCATTTGGTTTTACGAGTTGTGGTCAAGACCCTGACTCTGATCTGGAGCCGGGCCCATAATTCCTGGTTTTGTTTAAGGCTGGGATTTGATGGAGAGGCTTGAGGAGAATGTTTTCAATCTTTATCCAGTTTTTGGAAGGCGTCACACCATGGAGAGACCTGGCGAGGTTAGAGGGCATCTCGGGCACGTTAGGATCGCATCTTTCTCAGTCCCCTGGCCAAAAGCAATGTCCAGAGGGAGAGGGTGGGAGGGAGGGAGAGGGTGGGGAAGGGGTTGGGAAAGTCCAAAATCCCCTGATGCAAACCACCGAAGAGGAACCACAAACACAAAGTGGCGCTGATGGTTAGCTGACTCAAGTAAAGGCCTGGATTCACAAACACCAAAGGTCTGATGACTTACTGACTCCATGTGGTTGAAGAGCAACATCCTGATATTTGAATTTTTGACTTCGTAGTTTATCTTGAAGTCGTTTCCTGTACTCCTGTGTATAATCCTGTAAATTATCCACTCACCTGAACATGTAACCTCATGGAACTGGTTAGAAACAATCAACATTGTTTGGAAAAGCTCTGCGTCTGCCTCGTGTCCTGTGTTCTTGGTTTAACTTGCTGCTGAGTGATATTTTCATAGGTGCGCCGGCTAACCACTGTAAGACCATCTGAACGAGCAGCGAACAGTACAGCACACACACCGGGCCAAAACACTGACGTTCACTGGAACCACCAAGCTCCCACCACCTTCTGCAGAGCCACCGGGCCTCATGTAATAACATTTGAAAATCTTTTGCTCGCATGAGGGTTGTCAGAGTGCGCATCAGCAATGTCCTTCTGTTTGGTCTTGATTTCTGTTGGTGGAAGAACTTGATTGGCTCACTGACCTCCAGACCTTTGGGATGAGCTGGTTACGAACGCTGCCATCTTGCACATTCGGATCAGAAACCATCTTTGGGAAAAATTAATTTGACGTGTACTAAGTTCATTTTCCTATCCTCTAACAAGGAGCTGGTGGGATTTAATACTTTTGGAATTGTTGTTGTTGGATTTTCTTCGGGATACTTTAAACACACCTCTTTCCAACATGTTTACTTCTTGTTACAGCTCTGATTTGGTCAAATGTTACATTTACTGTCTGTGTTGTTTTAAACATCTTTTTATCCAATTCAAGTTTCCAAGCTCTACGTGCAGCATTAGTGTCGTCAACTTACCAAATCTGATTCGGCATTTCCAAAAATCACTGACATCCATTCGCATTTACCTGATAACTTTGAATCCCCAGTCATGGTTGGATTTTCTGCCAAATAGGGAGCAGCGAAGTGGAAAGTTGGGGTGAGGAGGTGAGGCCGGTGGGTGGGCATGGAGCTCATGATCAGAGTTTGTTTCCTATCACAGGTCCAACTATTTGACTCTGGATTCAAAGAGACCACAAGCTAATCTTCACCACGTGTCGGACCAACCTCAACAAAGTTATTTGCCAATGATCACCATGTATAAACTTGTAGCTGGCATGAAAAGATTATTTAAATAGGATCAGATCTAAAAATAAGAGAGAATATTTGCACAATATCTAAGTAGCTAAAGTCAATGTTTTCCAACCGTTTTGGCTGGAGACATTTAAAATGTATTCGCCTGTTTGTCTGTGAACAAGATTACGAAAACACTCCAGGACGGATTTCCACGACACTTGGTGGAAAGATGGGACGTGCGTCAGGAAAGAACCCATTTAAATTTGGTGCAGATCTGGACAAATGAATCCATTGCAAGATACAACATTGTTTTGATGTTTTCACCATTTCCCTGGGAATAATTCATAGATTTTGGTGACTGAAATCTATGAGTATGATGCATTTGGTGCAGTTTGATTGAATTCAAGAGGACTGTTGGGCTGTGGGGGACGTATCTGCAGAAGCCATGGAGAAGTAAAATATGCTGTTCTTCGCAAAAAAGAAGAAAGATTAAAATAAGGTCTGGTAAAGTGAAAGTAATTCCATTTGGCAGAACCGTGTTTCTGAAGCTTTGCTGGGGTCCAGTCCTGCAGGTGGGGTTTGAGTTTGAGCGCTGTCACACCTGGCACCAGTTACTTCGAACCTTTGAGGTGGTTTTCACACTTAAGGCAGTTTTTTCTTTTGAAGGAACAAGAAACACAGAAATCCAAAACAGTTGCAAGTGTGGGTTTGTGTGATGTCACCACAGCCAGAAACAAAGGAAAGTGTGTTATCTGTTAAACATGTCAACAGCGGTTTACAAAGATGCTCCGTGATGAAAATCCTTTTCTGCATCAAGTGACTGACACGTTTCCCTCTTAACGAAGCTCTGGAAAATTTAAACATTTGAAAAATAAAACGTTTGTGCACCAATTCGGTTCCTGAACCAAATACATTTCGAGCAGTTTCTGTGTTTTTGCCACGGCCTGAGTGTACATGCGTGACCTGGTGGAGCCGTGTAGTGTTGCTGTCGGATCAGCTCTGTTCAGCTGTGTGTGTGTGTGTATGTGTGTGTGTGTGTGTGTGTGTGTGTGTGTGTTGGACAGGTCAACTTCCTCACTAACGAGCGAGACATGAGGGTTTTTCCACAGAGTCCAGAAAAAAAAAATGCACTTGGAGAGAAAAGAGCAGAAAAGCCGGAGGGAGGGAGGTGAACAGGAAGAAATATAAGCGAGAGGGATGGATGGATATTTGAGGGCAGATATTGACATGAGATATTTTGTGCTGCGATTCATTTGAATCTGAACGTTTTCGTGCCACAGAGGCCTGAAAAGAATTCAGTTTTCCCACAGAATCAGGGTGGAGAAAGTCTGAAAAGATGAAAACTCTGTGTTGTTGTTATATTTCCAATAACCCACCACACTCTTCATACTCAACACAACTACCAGTGCCTTCATACTTTTTTGCTTGTATGTTTCTGGCCACTTGGGGGCAGCAGAACAAGGTGTAAGCGCGATGTTTACGTATTTTTACCTTACAAAGTTGATGAACATGTGAACCACCGCACAATGTTTTGGCCACGAGTATTTTAAGGGACTTTTGGGGCCCCGGGCAAAAGAGACCCTGCAGAATTACGAAACTTTTGGCAGACAGCTGGTCCTGTGGGGCCTCGTTAGGGGTTTTGGACAGTGAGGGTCACTGCAGTCTCCTGTACTTCGTGATCATAGACTTTAGGAGAGTTGGTTGTGGTGCCCTGGTGGGACGCCTCTGGTTTTAGCCGATTTTACTGAATTTTCTTCTACAAAACAATCTGCGACACTCACTCTGTCTTTGTTTCCTTTCCTCGTTGGTGTCTCCTTAATTTTTTTGTAGATGTTACCTCCACCTCTTCTGTCTCCTTCTTCTCTCCTCCCTCCATCATTATGTCATCCCCTAACATTCAGAGACTTGTCCACTCAGACCTGACCTCAGCTGTTCCACCAGCGACTCACAGAGACACTTCACTGTGCCAAAGAGAACTTTGTTCAAACTTCATTCGGCTCTCATTGCTCCTGGAGCTAAATGTGTTGGTTAATCTTTCATTTGCTTCATTTAAACCTCAACTGGTTTCAAGCCACTTTTCTCTGGTTCTCTCTCAACGGCCAGACTTCCATTGGCGATGAGCTGATTATGTGGTGAACCACAGAGAGCAGACATTTTGGTTTCAGGAATGTTTGCTTTTGGCTTCAGATAAGTAATAAAATGAAATAGAACCAACTATGAAAAAAGTATATTAACACCTACAGTTTGACCGATGTTGTACTTTCACTAGGACAGCAGAGAGAACTCACACTTTATGCACCTGCTCGTTCATATTTTGCATCTCTTACGTTAAGTACTAAAACATTTGACTGAGAGTCTCCACCTATTGTTTGCTTAAGGGGAACTAAGCAACCAGAGAAATAGATAATTAAAACAACTCCCATGATCCCACGCTGCATCGCAACCTCATCATGGGTCTTTTGTCATTGTTTTAATTGAAAGACCTCTAGTGGCCCAGGTAACATACTACATGTTTAATTCTATGCGACGAGGTAAAACCTTTAAAGAGGCACCTTGGTAATCTGTCTGGCGTCAGTCAACACATCCTCCACATGTCAACACACCAAGTTCATTGCAGAGTCAAACGTGTTCAGGTGTAAAGATAAAGTCTTCAATATGCCGACGCACATTACATCAGCGTGGTGTTAACTTTGAGTCCAGCTCCTTTGGCAGCATCAACACGAGAACATGTCCGACTGCTTCTCCTGAGCTCGTCAGCAACCTGCCAAACCCCCTTTTCCCTGAGTCTAAGAGCGTTCCCCTCGAGGAGCCCCCTCCTCTGCTAACGTCCAGCTCGGAACCCGCAGGCCCTCGGGGGTGGGGCCGGGCACCGGTGGTTTACAGTTAATGACGTGTTGTGTAAAGTCCACTGCTGTAACACACAGTCATAAAAAGCCCTCTGGTTATATATTCTACTCTCGTGCCTACTTCTGCCTTTTTTTTTTTTTATCCCGAGTGTGTGATGACAGCCTCCTCAGACACATGTCCACACATAACACTAACACAACCCTCCCACCAGAATCACACAAGACCAACACCCGCCCTCATGCTGTGAACCGCCATGGGACTGTTCCTCCTGAGCGAGCAACAGCTCGGGGAAAACATGTGTGCAGAACAATAACATGGATTTTTCTAAGACAGCAGCTTCACCCTGAATACACTGTACAGTGCAGAGACTCCAGGGTGAAAGGGTGGAGGGATGTGAGGCAGCTGGTTTGTGTGATTTATGACCGGAGAAATAAAATGTGTTCGTGGCTCCAGCAGAAATGGTTTCCTCTTTTTTTTTGCAGATAACTATGGTGGATATGAGAACCAGCTTTTCAAAGGTAAGGAAACAATTTGGTGGAGACGCACGAGTCAATTTACACAACCTGTCTTCCCTCAGTTGTCTCTGCACAAAGTTTCATTTTTCCATCATAAGAATCAGCTTGATTGTTTTTATTGGTTATAACATATATTAGAGTTACTGGTTGGAATCCCACATAATTACTTGTTCTTTGACTTAGAAATCGAAAAACATGGTAATGACAAGGAAAGTCTCAGTACCAAAGTGTCTGGCACCAAACACATCAGCTTAAGTCTGGGTAATTAAACACAAATTTGATGGATTTAGTGATGTGATGTCAACGCAAGACCAACTGTACGTAATCCTGAGTTGTTTACGATGTTGATTAATGTACAAAGTTTTGTAAATGTGGCTTTATTCAATGTTCAAAGCTTTTTCTAATATATTATAAGTCCATATTGTCTCTGTGGAGATGGTGGTTTTTGATGATCTTAAACTGAGAAAAAAATAAACACTTTGAAAATTAAACTTTGTATCTTCAGTTGAAGAATATGATGCTTTGAGATTCTCATGTTTATGTTCTTTTCCTTGTCTTGTTTTTCAGAGGAGGACCTGACAGGAGAGGAAGAGGAGATGCCGTCCTTTAGAGGTGAGCGTCACATATTCAGCACACAACAACAACGAACAAGGTCGTATGTATCAACAATGACACACAGATACATTCATGTATTATAGTGTTTGATCAGTAAAAACAATCCACTCACTCACATTCTCGTTGATATTCATGTGTTTCCAGGTCGCAGCAGAGGAGGCTGTGTGAGGTGCCGGCAGAGCCACTCGCTCCAGCTGGCCGTCAAAGTCCTCTATGGATTCGTCGCGTTCCTCATCATCACAGTGGCCGTGCTGGCATCACTTGGTGAGCTCAGCTCGATTTTTTCTTTTTCACCCCTGATATCTCCTGCAGGGAAGCTAGCCACTGCAGCTGGATGCAGTCAGCGGGGAAAACAGTCGTCGAAATATGAGCTAATTACATTTAGATTATGAGGAAAGTTTCCAGGAAGTTGCCCGAGTGAAGTGAGATATAAGGTTGTCGTGGGAACTAAAACACGGTCCATTTACAGATGAAGTGAAAGCGAGTGCCATGTTCTACCTGACAGCTGCTCCACGTCAACAGATGCTTTTCACATTAACGTGACTCTTTATTGGGTTTCAAAGCCATAAATCCTCCACATTTACTACTGTTCAGGGTCTCAGAGGAGAGAGTGAGGGGCGTGATGCAGAAACCACACAACACACACACACACACACAAACACACACACACACACACACACACACACACACACACACACACACACAAGGTTGCATTCAGGTGCACATATACAGAAAGGTAATAAAGTCTGGTTTGGTTTAAGCCGTGAACTGTGTGTGGGCATTTCATACACGTGTATGGTGCATGTGCTGGAAACATGTCGACATGCATGTTCATGGTTTGGCACTTTCATTGTTTTGTTCATTACCTCATACCAAGAATCTTGGTGCAAGGATGCATTGTGGGTAAGAAAAGAAGTCTTTACAATTTGGTGCAGAGCCAGGATTTTATTTTTTTATTTTATTTAACATTATGAGACAGAGCACGTTTCGACATCTTCAGATTTCCCGAGGAATAATTCACGGTTCTTGCCAAAAAAAACACATATCACATTCAAAACAGTGGTTTATCTCTGACACTTAATTTATATTAAAAGTTCTAGTTGATATTGTTCATTCTAGTTGCTTCATGAATCTTTCATACATATACACAAGTCAGATCTGCAGAAAGACAACGTCACTGAGTTTAAACATCCTGTCAAAATCCCTGTTTCAGAGACACGAGAAGAATACAACTCTGGAGGAAACATAATTATAACGTGTCAACATTTTTATATTGTCTATTTAAGTCAAATAAATGAAAAACGCACATCAGCATTTATGAACCATCATAACACCCACACCAGCTGTTTTGTAATGCTTCATACACAGAAACAGCTCTGAGCTCGTGTTTTTTGTTAACTCACAGCACAGCTGTTCAACACCAAAGCATCAAAAAACTTCATGTCAACAGAAAAGATATTGCACTTGGCTGTAGAATGTGCATGTGCAAGGAAAAAACACCAACTTTTGATTTTCCCTTCCCTGCTGAACATCTGTTTTATAACAAATACATTATTCTGCACAGGTCTGTTAAGTAACAAGCGTGAAATGAAGTAATGTCTTTCCCTCTGTGCAGAATTGAAAAATGCATTTTTGGAGTGAAACACATTTTTCAAGTCATCACATATACACAAAGGTTTTAAAATATAAACAGCTGGTAAAACATGTACAGTTTCCATATTAAGGTTTTAATGATTCTTCACTACCCTTGCACGAAATGAACCACGAGCCATGTTAATCATCATTGTCACTGCGGCTAATACAGCAGAGCGTGTGGTATGATTCCCTAAAAGCATGTGGAAGTATTTATTTGTGCAAACATGCTTTGAAAAAGAGCAGCATTGACCCCCTGAGTCAGGGGCTGGGACGCTAGAGTGAATGTGAGCAAACACATTATACAAACCGACACTCACTGAATTGTTGTAGCCCTCATGGGAAATATGCCGGGGGGAGCAGGATGTGAGCAGCTGGTTAAACCACCATATATCAGTGTTTCAGTTGCATTTGTCAAGGTTTTACAGATAATTTCCAGATTTTACTCCTTTTAATTCTTCTAATTTCCTGTTAACACCAAGGAACCTCTGATGTTAATCATATCTGCATCCACTCAGCTGCATTTTCATTGTTTCATTAATTCCCCGATGTTTACCTGTATTTGTTTACCTGTTTAAAACTAATGGTTTTAATCCTCAGAGGGAAACAGTCTTTATTCTTTAATGAAACATAAATCCTGAAATAAATAACACAAATTTATATATATTTTACATGAATCAAACATTTACCTGTTTTCTCCAGTCTTCAGGAAGGTGGACAGGATGTCTGAGGAGGAGTCGATCTACCACAGTAAAATCACCAGAGTTCAACAAGGAATCGATGGTAAATTATTTCGATTTTGTTAGATATTTTTAATATTTAATATTTTTTCAATTGTATTTTACTGCAGCTCATCAGTCAATTTTTCCTCCATCTCCACTGTCTCTCCTCCTCCTCCTGTTCTTCCTCCTCCTCCTGTTCTTCTTCCTCCGGCTGCCTCTCTCAGACCTGAGCTCCACCTCTAACTGCTCAGGCTGTCTGGATGTGACGCTGTACAGCGAGGAGATCAGCCGGCTGAAGAGAGAGTTCGAGGACATCCAGAAAATGATACTGGGGCAGGAGCAGGTGTGGTGGCTCATACATTCTTCAAATGTTTGACAAAACCCAAAGATAATTTGATAAACAAGATAACGATCACTCTTTCTTGATCCCCGCCCAGGTCCTGGACCAGGCGTCACAGTCCCAGGCCACTCTGAAGACCACCAACAGTCGGCTGATACGTGAAATGCAAAACCACCTGACGTCGATCAGATACCTCAACCAGTCCCTGGAGAGGTACCTGGAGCGGGTGGAGGCCTGGAAGGATGTGATCGAGGAAACTGAGGAGAAGATGAACACTCTGACGGAGGATCAGTACGATGTCAAAGCTACGTCACATCAGGTCAACACTACAGTGGCTCTCAGGTGAATGAACAGCTGATGAACAGATAATGAACAGTACTATACTTAAACTGTGGCTCTATCTCACAATACTGGACTAAAGTAGGGGACTGCCGGACGGGTGTTGCTTTCCCATGTTACTAGCAAGGCCAAATTAGCAGAGTACCATGAAGACAGGATAACATGTCTTCTGTTGTGTTTCCTTCTGCTCTTTAGTGCAATGTGGATCGACGCCCTGCAGAGAAAAGCAGACGAGGAGACTCTGGTCCTCCAGAGGCTGACCAGCGACTGGCAGAACTACAGCCGCGTCCTGAACGCCATCAAATCCAACACAAGCAGCACCACGCAAACCATGCGCTTCCTCCAGAACAACATCGCTGCAGACCACCAGAGAATCGCCATGACCACCGAGGTGTACTACGCCCTCACTCAGCAGGTGTGTTTGCACAGAACAACATTCAATTGAAAAAATAAAGGCTAAGAGAAAGGTATTGCATAGACACAATGAGTTTCCTCACCACCACGGAGCAACAACGTGTATCTGTGTATTCTCCAGGTGATGAACCTGCAGATGCAGCTCGACAATGTGACGTCTTTCATGGATGAACACGAGGAGAACATGCATGACCTTCACTACCATTCCAGGTAACACGCATGCATACAAGATTCCACAATAATACTTGACAGAACATTTAACTGAGTGACGTTATTCTGTGTAACCAGCCCGATCTATTTTCTTCAGGTACTATGAGAACCGCACAGGTGAACGTTTCTCTGCCTTGGACGGTCGTCTGAACTCCATCACGATGGATATCGACACGGTCTCCTCCAGCATCAATGCCACCGTCAGCCACGTCCAGAGCATGTACAAGTACATCAACATCGAGAGCTCATCCTGTCAGGGCCGCCTGGGCAGACACACAGAAGATCTACAGGTTGTAAACACACTAGAGCTCAGAATAGTTGTATAATTTGTTGCTGATAAATCGATCGATCAATATTAATAAGATGCAAGATGCAGAATTTTTGCTTTATCCCAGTTATAAACCAGCTAGGGTTCCTCAGCATGAGTGCACTTCTCTTCTCTCTGAGCCAAATAAAGTTCAAGATTAGACTCATTATGTAACTGCCAGTTAAAAGAATCACATGCAGTGACTGTACATTTCTTGACACACAACTGAGGCTGTCAATGTTAATTATTACTTCTATGTCCATCTCTTCTTTGTCCTCTTGTTTCCCTCTGACTCTTCATCCTCACAAACCTTCTGCAGAATCTGAACAACACAGTCTTGTTACTCCTCCACTTAGCCGACACACTGAGGCAGCAGAACATGTTGTTAAATGTGCGACTGGACGTCGATGTCAGGAACCTGTCCATGGTGATGGAGGAGCTGAAGCTTGTGGATGTTCACCATAACCAGCTCATCAACAACTTCACTATACTAAAAGGTACAATATTGTCATTTTAAGATCTTCTACGAGTTCACCGTTCTTTAAAAACTTCACCTGACTTTCTTTTATCAACAGGGGCTCCTGGACCCCCGGGGCCCAAAGGAAACCGTGGTGAAAATGGTCCAAAAGGTCCTGTGGGACTGACTGGAAGCAAAGGTGACAGAGGCGCCTTGGGAAGTCGTGGATCTGCTGGAGAGAAGGGGTCTCTTGGGCCCAAAGGTGGACCAGGTGAACCAGGGATAAGTGGCAATAGAGGGATAGTAGGGGTCAAAGGAGCCAAAGGTTCTCTTGGTACACCAGGGCAACGTGGTGAAAGGGGCGAGAAAGGTGACATTGGTCCCTCAGGTAAAGACGGTCTCCCGGGACCCTCAGGGCCTCCAGGGATCCAGGGTCAGGCAGGACTACCAGGCATCATTGGACCAGCAGGACCAAGGGGGAAACCAGGGCCAGTAGGGCCACCTGGACCACCAGGAACCCCGGGACCTCCAGGCTTGCCATACCCACCTGACCACATGCAGAAGCAGACCGTGACAGCTGGTGCTGGGTCAAAGAGGCAGTAGAGAGGTGTCTGGAGATATGGTCCAGAACTATGAAGGTTTAGAATCATCAGAGTCTGAAGGAAAATCATCCATTGTGACTGGAGATGTGACAATCCATTTGAATGGGATGTGCAAGACAATGGAAAACTTTATGAACAGATGCAACACATCAGATTGGAGATGGGGCTTTTACAAGAGGCCCTTCCCAAATCTAGCAACATGGCCACAAGAAAAGAACAACAGTAGAAAACAGAACTGCAGCCATGGACTGAACTGCTGCTACAAAGTGAGACATGAGAGGACTCAAGTCTGGAAGTGGACTGTGTTTGGACAGACTTTTTCTTCTATTAGGTTCAAATACAACAGACCTTCCCACCTGGTTGTCCACATGCAAATATCAATGTACAGAACGAGCTTATAATAGGGAATAAAAACATCCATTATTGAATTTGAAGTGTTGCCTATAGTTGAATGTACTGGAATTAAAGAATGTGCAAAACCTCATGGGGCTGGAGAGATGTTAACCACAGATTTGGACTTAACCTCCAGACTACTCCAAGGTTTACATTCCCGTGCACTACTATATGGGCACAGATTGACTCGCTTTATCATGTACACCATTACATATGCTCTCTCTGGTGGATAGCACTTTATTGGTTCTTAAAGTGTAAAAATTAAGGTCGGTTTGCTTTTATTTCAGTTTGTCAGAGCAGGTACTCTGAAGACTTTGTTTGTATCTACTGGGCAAAGCTATCATTTTATGATCTGTGTCTGACGAAGTTAAGTTGCAGAATGGAGCTGGAGCCAGGAGGTGTTTAGCATAAAGACTGGAAGGAAGGGGAAATGGATAGGAATTACTTGACAAACTAAATCCCTTTAAAACCACAGATTGTCATCGCTCATATAGAATAGATGGATACCCAACCCGAGCATATCTGGACCCCAAGAGTTAGGCCCAGTTTGGACAAAAATTACGAAATATTCAGGTTCTGGTCTGCCTCCACACAATCGCAATTGCAAACATATACCAATTAAAACAAAGAAAATACAACATGGTCTCTTGTAGGATTCAGGGGTTCTGTGACATGCATCAACATTTTAGGAAGCTAGGCTATTATACACCCCACTTCCAGTCTTTATGCTAAGCTAAGCTAATCACCCCAGCGTTGTACCTTATCCACGTACATGAGAGTGTGTCTTCTCATTGAACGTTGAAGTACTCACGTAAGAGACAATGACGGCGAGGTCGATGAATAATCAACATGTAAAAGCGTTCTGGTATCAAACTACCGGTCAATCAGAGTTTGATGTTGTTTCTTTCTTGATTTCTGCCTATGAATTATTGTGATTGTGGAGCAATGACTTTTGAGAGTGTTTACATAACATAAATAACCATTTACACTTCAAGCTTTACAAAAAGGGACACATGCTACTTTTGTAAACCTGTGTGTTGTAATGAAATGCGACTGGCTTGCATTGAACTTCAATAAATGAAACTGGAAACATTCGGTTGTGAGTCTCCCACTGTACCAGAGCAGAGGGCTGCTGTGGCCCATGTGAAAGAAAGGGAGTGGTTCTGTCATTAATTCAAAACACATGTCAACCCCTCCTGTTAAATTTTTGAGGTCCGCAGCCACTGCCTCAATATTCAATTGTCTCCATTTACCCAGTTGTTTTAAAATAGGCACTCCACCAAGAATGTGGCCTGTAATTTATAATTTTCCTGTTGTAGTGTGCACAAAAATTATGATTAACAGGCGTGACGTACTGAAAATCACAATCTGTGACAAAGACTCGTGCAGATGTGTTGTTGTGAGTAACTGATAACCTTCCTGCAGCTGAATGACACCTCCACAGCAGTTCACTCTCTCGGAGCTGGAGTGGGACAGGATTTGTGGGACATTAGAAACCTGAACCCCAACAGAAACTTCCTTAAAGAATCCACCCAAATCCCTTATTCCTGCAGCCACCATGGCTGATAGTTATGAATCACTCGCTGCATTCACTGATCTGAAAAATATGACTTATGTACGTTAGCATACTTAACTATGCTGTATGTGCACTTTAGACATCCTTCAATCAGACTGGCACCTTGGGCTCTTGTTGAACCGTTGGGGGACAGATTTGCAGGGACATGCTGTTGTAGATCTTATCATGTCCAACGAAGAGAATCATTGAGGGTAAGAGACAATGATAGGAAGAGGATGCTAACATGAGCAAGAGGAGTCTAACTTGACTTAAATCCCATAAATATGACCAAGGAATGACAATTGGCAATAGATGCAGCAAACTAAACAGACACCATTTAATCAGCACATGACTGTGACGAAGGTTAATTAATTCGATTACATTACAAATTCATATTCACAAAAGGACAATGTTAGCTCATTCATTTCGTTACCATCTACCATGACAACAGAGATCCTCCAACCTGAAGGATGATGTTATTCTAACCCAAATGATTGTCTGCCCAGACACAAGTACTCCCTTACCTTCACCGGTCTCAGTGCAGTCTCAGCACCATCTCAACCTTGAAATCAGCACCAGAAACATGCAGTGATTCATGTTTCAGGGCGTCAGACAGCCACAATCACAATGAGGTTCACTTGGGTATTATGGGAAAAGGGGCCGGGGACCGAGGCCTGTTTAAATTGGCAGCGATGAACTGTTAATTTTGGTTTGCCCTGCACACCGCATGCTTACATGCGAGGCACATTTGAGAACTTCAATATTGCAAAAAAGGTCACAGGAGAGGGATGTTTGGAGGAGCTTAATTATTGTTTTTCTACTAACTATAGTAGTTTAGCATCTCTAATCGCAGACTCCTGTAAACACCGCAAATCTTCATCAAGTATTACGTCAGACCAGAACCTCTGTGGCGTCGTCTTTGTAGTGACTCAGAAAAACGGGAGTGTGTTTACTCTGCAGCCTGCAGTCGAAACCGTGGTATAATTTTGAGAAACTGCAGCAGCAAATGGAATTAAAACATGAAGATCTCCGTCGTGCACAGAGGGCAGCTCGTCGCTGCGTTGAAGGAAGCGGTGTGTGAAGTGTGATGGGAGGCCATGCTGCGCTATAGCTGTTGAAAAACACCAGGTCCCGCCAGGATAAACCCTGCAGCCAGATGTGCTTTCTGCAGCCTCTGCCAGGTCCGACTTACCCAGGTGAAAGATAGAGCTGAGGGCTGTACCTTCCTAATTCAACTGTTATTCTTTCTCTGTAGGTCATTAATGATGGGATGTAACACTCTCTCCCTCTCTCCACATGAACACTTCAGGGCTGATTGGCTGTGAAGTGGATTGAGTAGCTGCGATGTGAACACAGTAATGGTTTGTTGCCCCACCGGCCCGACGCAATTTGCTGACTCAGTAACGTGACGTCACGGCTTCAAACGGCTGAAATGTGAGGGAGCAAATGATCCTGCTTCTGGATTTCATCACAGAGGGTTTCTGTTCAGACATTTAGATGGAAATGTTGGTTCCAACACTGTGGTCCTCAATCTGAACACTGTACTTCGCTTCATCTCTTTCTACTAAACGACCTGGCACCAAGACAGTCATGGTTCCCAGAGGATGAATTGCACAGAATTTACCGTCACCAGTGCACCTCATCAGAATTGCTTTTCGGATGACTGAATTCGGCGCAGAGCCTTATTCGACTGGGGTCTTTCTTTGTGGTGTTTGCAAAGACGACACAGGCCCTTCTGCCCGTAAACGAATCATGCAAATTGGGGGTATGTTGCCCCTGTGATGAGCTGGCGACCTGACCAGCGTGTACGCTAGCTCTCCACCCTCAGAACTTGTAAATCCTCTCCCTCAACATTGGAAAACATGTAGTCGACGTCTGACAATTTCTGTAACTTTTCCAGAACTGACTCTCACACGCAATTCATGTGAATGTGCAGCTGTGGGGAGGTGAGAAAGTATGTATTACTGAAAAAGAAAGAAGCTGTTACTTCTGTCACGTTTCGTGTGAATGTGCAGGGTGCACCAAAATCCTATTTAAAGTATCTAAAGTATTTAAACACATCTCACTTGTCTCTATGACAACCAGCTTTTAAATCGGTCTTTACAGTGAAGGCGCTGAGACGTGGCTGGAAACCAGATCCGACGAGTGTGAGGGAAACATCTTGACATTTATTGAATACATACCAAGAAAAGTCAAGTAGTTTCTCATGCAGGATTTAAACTTTGCCAGAACATTTAGATCCAAAAACATCAGTGTCACTTCTCGTGATAAATTTGACAAAACACATGACTTTACTAATCCTTTCTGACTGTTCACATTTTTATTAAGATCGACAGCACCAGCAATTGAACCCCTTTAACTTTTTAATTAATATAACAAGTCAATAATAAAGATTGTTTTCTCTTTCCTTCTTTAGATAAACATTTTCTAATAGGGTAAAATAAAAGAGATTTTGCATTTTGTACATGAAATTTTCTCCAGACCCTCTGTCACTTTAATTCCCAGCTCAGGTTGTGTAATTTCAGTCATTATGACATTAAATCTGCCCGGAGAGGGAGGTGGCACAGCGAGACATTACCTAACTGCACCTACACACAAATATACACACACACACACACACACACACAAGCTGAGACGTTAGCTAACTGATGACTTGACAGGCCCCCGAAGAGCTCGTTACGTCGACAGCTGTGAAAACACACTTGGCCTTTCACTATGGCTCAGGTAACTATTATAGTGTGTGTGTGTGTGTGGACAGGGATCACACCTGCTGCTGTGTGTGTAGTGACTCAGTCGTGTAGATTGGATTTCTCGGTGTGTTTTAGCTCCGAGATGCTTTTTATCCACAGAAATCTTAAAAGTCTGACTTCTCATTGCGGTGGCAAATTTCCCAAAACTCCTCTGACACATTTGTAAATGTTACACACTGGGTTTGTGTTCATTGTCCTTGTTTGAGGGTTGATATTGTCTGAAGCGTCAAACAGTTCTGCCCTCAGCTTAAAGAAAAGCCTGCACAGATCTTCTGAACCCCCTGAGTCATCCAGCTAAAGGGACTGTTTCTGTTGGCTGCAGCAAAGAGGGAGGGGCTCAGTGCTCGAGAGCGTGGGCAGAATCACAGCAGACGTTGGACGAGCAGTCTGAACTCTGACTTCATCTCTAATGAGGTGCTCTACAAGTTTTCTATTCAATCTGGGGAAGGCCTAGTGATAATTTAATTACGTTTGAGCCAACTTAATTAATGAATTTAAGAGGATAGTTCAACATTTGGGGGGTAATATGTTTTTTTTTTTCATTAGTTAGATTAGAAAATGTCATTTTCTCTACACGCTATGGAGCCCAGAAGGCATAATCCTGCGAGCAAACAAACAAAGCAGATGAAATCGTGAATTCCTCTGCAGACGTAATAAAATGAGCCTCAGAGCTGCTGCTGTGCAGGTTTTGGAGAGAGTTAGGAAATATCACTTCCACTATGTCCAGACCTAAACTATCCTAATCTCCATGCACTAACTCAATACAGACATTATGTGGTATCTTGTCATCTAACTCCATGCGTGTCCAAAAAAGTTGAACAAGTTCTTGAAATCAGACATTTTTCCTAAATGTCTCTCTGACTCGTGAATGTGCAGCTGCAGCGAGAAGCGCCAGTGTTTCCTGAAACCTCTGTGGTGAGACGCCTCCCTGCCAGAGGGCCGCTGCTTCTGTCAAGTCTGCAAACTTCTGCCAGACATCACATACTTAACGTCTCTTTTACTGAGTCCCCCATGAATTTACATTTACAGAATATACTGTATATCTTAGTGGAGGGATACGACAGAGAAATGAAAGATAAGAACCAACAAACAAAATTACAGTCTTGGCGTTTCCGTGTCATACATCTGTTTACATTGAGACAGGCCCCAATCCTAATCCTCCCTCTTGGACTGTTTTCCTCCACCAGAAGGTAAAAATGACTCACCTGCGAATCGGCTTCCTCCAGTCGCAGCTCTGAAGTCCAGTTATTTCAATAAGTAACCCAACATTTAATACAGGGACTGAAGTAAAATATTATATGTTTGTTTGTCTTTCACGGCATTAGGAGGAAAAAATGTTGTATTATCATAACCATGTGTTTGGGGTTTGGAGTGAATCTGCGGCCAAATGAGGAAGATAAGTGATCAGCTGGTCCTGGAGAACTTTGGCTCATTTGGTTCCTGCATCACATCTGGATCCAGCGTGTTCCAGATTACTCATAATTGGCTCATTTATTAAATACTTATTTTAAATTAGCTAACTCCAATACAATGCTTCTTCCTAAGCCTGGCGAGAAATCGTAATGTGAAAAAACCCCAGTTGCATAAATCGGTGTGGTATAAATGTCGTAAATTGAGAAAAGCAATTAAAAATGTTTCTCTTATGAACGAGAGAAACAAATAACTATAAATCTAGACAGGATTTAAATGTAATGAACTTTGTTATTGACATTTTTTCACAAAAGCAAAACAAACAGGACAACAATCCACAGCATTTAGAATCCTGGATCAACAGCTCC